ACTTCCACTTATTATACTTGTCATTGATGACTTGATGTTGCTACTGCATTGATTTTATTGCTACTGCTATGACTTGATGATGTTATTGATGATTTGTTCATGATACTATGACTTGATGCTATACGCTACTGTCATTGCTACTGATGACTTCCCCTTAAATCGCTTGCTTACGTCTTGAATGGTGTTAACTTAATATGTTGCCGAACTGAACAACTATCACTTAATATACGAACTTCACTGCAGCAATCCAAAATAACGCACCTCAGCCCAGCGTATATAGAATTTTGCCATTTTAAGGCAACATCCAGCCGTGTAAGCACGTTCGAATAACGCCTCGGGATTGGCGCTGCCTCGATTCTCAGCCAACTTGAACCACATTTTCAGCATTCGTTCATCGTTCAAGTACGATTCCCGATAACCGTACTTATTGATGATTCGGGTCAATTTTGGATATAAATGTGATTGCTTACCTAAAATGTATCAATTGCTAAGAAACTTAGCATAATCATGATCCACTTGATTGAAGAATACACTATACATTTTGCAGAGAGATTTAAATTACGGTGAATCTCACTAGAAAATTTTTACCGGTCGGGAAATGCTCCTCAAACCAAGCCACATATTTGGTACACACTTCAAGTGGATCCGACGATTCTTCTGCTTCCACTAAAACAGATTCGAACTTTGAATCTGCCTCTTCAATGGACGCCTTTGCACCTAAAATGCTATGCCGCAATAATCTCACGAATATTCTCTCGCCCAATGAAAACCTTCACAATACAGCAACAATCTACATGGATTTCGTACAAGTCACCTTTTCCCTTCCACATATCCAACGTTTGTCCTTCTTACTTGTGAAAATCGCCAGTCATCTCTCGAAGTTTATATCAAGTGAATTTCATCCAGACATGAATTTTTAAGCGAGAACCGCTCTAGTAAAACGCTCCTAATGAAGAGTTAATCCAAAGATAATATTGCAAACCTCCAAAAATATTATTTATTGCATTCACACTTCTACCACCACGTAATGGACGAATATTTTCACGGTTCAATTCCCATTCATGATCTGATGGTGCCGATGACATTCCTTCCCACTATTCTAGCACTGAAATTTCGATGGATTACCATCATAACTCACCGAAATCTCTTAGGGATCACGAACTCGTCAGCCACATCAATCAACAAATAGGCACATCCAATAGAACTGACACAAACTTGCCCATGACCACTCCCTAACATCGATTAAGACTCAAAGCGTTAAAAACTCAAAGAAGTTTCTTTTCCCTATTCGAAAACATTTCAAATTCTTCGTATTCATATATGTAATTGCCGTAGCGATATGCCTTAGTCAGCTTGGTGACGAGAACAATTTTTGCAATGTTGTTACCAAAAAGCACAACAACTTGATAGGTCATTATTCATTCATAATAACATCATCATACAAACTTTCACATATTATCAATGGTTTAGTGAATACAAACAAAAGTGTTAACAAGCACTTCATATTAAAAATATAATCAACATTTTACTTACATCCAACACATTTTTTCATTTACTAACACAGAAAACAGCAAATCCAAAACAAAAACAACACATCTCACAAAAATACAAATAACCGCGATAATAACAACGAACTAAACAAAATCACTGAACTGATAGGATAACTTACAGAAGTTATCCAAAATAATTTCCTAGAGAGTGACTGATTTCCTCATTCACAGTGAGCGATATTTTACGATCGATCTATCAATTTATGCATCCTGATGGCCTATTGTCAAAGATGCACACGCTATCGAAAAAAGATAGCTGATAACAGTTAGAGATCTGATAATCGATTCTACGCAAACATATTATACAATAATTCAACAGATAATCCGTGAAAACAACAACAAAAA